ACATTCACTTGAAGAGCTTTCCGGTTTGTCAGCACTTCTTTTACCATAAAATTTATTTTCTTGTTTCAACTTTTCATTATCTTTTTCCAGTTTTTCAAAATCATTTTCAAGAGTTGAAAGACGTTTCTTTAATGATTTGTTGGTTTTAGAAGCGCTAACAAATTCATCATAAAGCTCTCGAAGAGCTTCTTGCATCTCTTCAAAAGTGTAAGAGTCGGAAGAAGGGGTACATACCTCTTGTACTTCGTTGACGTGGTCTTCGTGTGCCATGAGACAGAGGTTGGCGGCTTCTTCCTCTTCTTGATCCATTGACTCATCCCTGGAGTCGCCACCCCATGAGATGTAGGCGCGTTGCTTTTTGAAGCCAGGTTTGTCCTTGCCGCTTTTGCCTTTTGGACACCTCGGCTTGATGTGGCCTATCTCACCACAGCCATAGCACTTTGGGGGACCGTCGTGCTTTCTTCCTTTGCGCTCAAATTCCTTCTTCATAAATTTGTGGAATTTCTTGATGACGAGGGAACCCAGCGATGGGAAAGCATGCCCTTACCCAGCGATGGGAAAGCATGCCCTTACCCAGCATGTTGGGGCATTATGAATTATCCTATAGAACTGACGTTGTGGTACCACTCAACGGTTTTGCTGAGCGTGTAGTTGTCTTTGTTGTGTGACTATGTGTGGGTAAGAGAAGTGATAGAGCCGATCCCGGAGGGCGTTGAAGTGGAAGAGATGGCAGCATGACATGGAAATTATTCCACCTTATTATCTTTTCTTAAATTAAATTTAACATTTTTGGTCTTGAAACGTTTTACTTTATTTCCTACTCGGAAACTATTTGTGATGTTGATGTTTTGAATCATTTGAATTGTTCTTCTAAAAATATTTGCTCTAAATTATGGATGTCACTTTACCGATTTGCTAACACTTCAGTCCACTAATCCACGTGAACTAGGTTACGCGGAATGACGTGTTACGTCTATCGGTAGCGTGCCATAACTGTCAGATAAACGATCGACCGCTGTTGACCAACGGTCAACCATCACGTTCCCATTGGAAGACAAAATCTACAATACTCAGAACGATCCATCACCTAGGCGAATGGTCCTCTGTTGAAAAACGAACGTTGTCAGGTATCTCATCATGGTTGATCGTCACGGTAGCAGTCAGGAGGTCCTCGGAGATCGTCAACACAGTTGACCGATGTTCCCAATGATCGACCGTTACGAGCGCAGTAGCCAACCCAACTCAATTTGTGCAACATGTGATATATCCCATTGACATTCGAATGATGTTCAAATGTAGTGAATTCATGTGTTTTTATATAGTCATATTGTTTCCAACATATGAAATTGACATTTAGATGGTATTCAAACTTAATGAACTCATGCATGTTCATACATTCTGATTTTTTACAATTGTTCATATCATTATGCTTCATTCATTCATATTTAAAGCATATCATATCATCTTGCATGCGTAAGAGGTCATTGTCACGTGCGCCTCTTATAGCGTGATCATGCTGAACTTAAAAATCTGATGTCACAAGTTTGGGTATAGTGTACATACATGGTATATTAAGTGTCGGATACCACCCTCATTCTAGTCTCATTCGTGAGACTAATTTAAGGTGCTACCTGAGTTTTCGTTCAAAATGGGTGATGTCAGAGTGTAAGGGAGTCCTTGCTAACTTTAGAACATGCATTATGTACTCATCATCATGTATTTATCATCATGAACCATCATCTTGATCATATGCTATAATGTGTCATATCATGAATATTCTTATATGTTTATGTGAACTATATATATATATATATATATATATAATATATATATATATTATAATATATATATATATGTAACACCTCAATCCGTCCAGGTCTGCAGCCCCTTTCGGACTAAAGTATAAACTTGGTATTTGTAAACATTCAAAAGGTTTCAAGCATTTTAAAACTTTATTTCATAATAAAGTATTCAGAATAATAACAGAGTAGTTAATGTTGCGGAAGCTGAATAAATAACAATTACAAAACATAATAATATCATGTGGATTACGTACCAACCGAACAGTGAACTGTCGGGTGGGTGATATCCGTTCTGGATCCCGTACGTACGTTTTAACCCCGAAATATTAATTGGCCAAGGAGGTATATCTTAGAGTTCTTCTAGATATCCTTAATAATCATCATCAATTTTCCAAGTGGGTATATCTTAGAGTTCTTCTAGATATCCTTAACAATATACATCATTTTCATAATCATCAATATATTCATTTTTTAATCATAATTTAATCATTCGTAATTATTATTTTTATAATAATATTCATCAAAGTCTAATCATAAACAACATCAATAATAATCATCAATATATCTAATTACAAATAGCGGCCTAGCATCGAGTGTTAACACCTTAGCTTACCGTCATACATCACATAAAATTTTATTTGTCAAAACATCATTTTTATTTTATCACATAAAATTTTATTTGTCAAAACATCATTTTTATTTTTAACAATTATTTTTATATTGATCATAATTAATTGGTATATATAAAAATAGGATTTTATAGCTTCAAAAATAGCATTTTTGGGCTTAAAAATGTTC